GACCCTTGCTGCCTTCCACAGTGGGAACTTAACCAAGTCCTCCATAACACCCCGTCATCTAAAGGAGGAATGATTTTAAGAAAAACATTCACCCCACATCCAAGCAATGCTTTTACAGCACTAGCAAATGCAATCACACAGCAGCCAAATTGTGTTTCCTACCAGACCACCGCCAACAACAGCGACTCTTTTTCCCTGTGGGTCACCAGGTTCCATCACTGGGGCAGCCTCCAGGTCACACGTTTTTACCGCTGCTTCCCCACTCTCTGTCCTGCTGCACTGCCCTCACCAGCAGGGAGGAGAAGGGCAAGGACGTGGGCGGCGGATTCATGCCTGGGTTCTTCTCCCCTGGTTCATGTTAAATTTTAACTCCCAGCCCAGAGACTGTTGGTGAATTAGCCTGGCTGCGTGGCCAGCCACACTGAGCCTCAGGTGAAGAGATATGAATGTGACGTTATTCAGTCAGGCCTTATTAAAAGGCCTCTTTTGAAAATTGTAAAGCAATTCTGCAGCCTTCAAGGACCCCCTAATGAAACACGCACAGAGCAGGAGGAGAACTTGCATCTGCTGTGCTTTTGCTGGTGCTTTGCTGGGCTGCAACTGCAGAGGCACCAGTGGGACGATGCGGAATAACTCCTGGAGCACTTTCCTGAGGGTGGGATGTGAGCCACCCTGCTTGTCCGGGGGCCTGACCCCGTCTGTGAGGACATCTTTCACCCAAGGAAGCTGTGTGTGGCTCAAATGTTTTGGGGTGTGATGCTGAGCAGAGGGTCAGGGTCCGTGCTTAATCTGCAGAAGCTTTCCAGGACTTGGATGAGGCTGTGAGGAGACACCTCTGTATGCACTATTTCACATGCCCGCCCTCAGAAGCATGTGCTCTGCTGATCCAATCCTGCAGACAGTAAGCTTTTAAAAGTGAGGAGCCAATTACAGGCTACACACAATAATTAAACAGTAAAAACACATACATTAACATACTAACAACCATTTATTACTAAACCTACAATGCACAGCCCAAGACAGCAGATTTATCTCAAAGGAGCAAGACCAAATCCCCGCACAAGCACAGCGCTGTTCTCCATTGCATGTCCTGGTTCCCGGTGTAGCAAGGGCCAGCTGCTCCTGAGGGGATAAGGAGCAAGTGCCACACCATGCCACAGTCCCAACCTGCAGTACCATGCAAGGAGAGGACATGCAAGACAGGGTCAACAGGACCCACGAGCAGTGCCACGTGCAAGCTTAAATGGAACTGCTAGCCTTGGGGAAGGCAGGTGTCCCAAGTGGGGCTGGTTGGGGTTCTTAAAGGCTATTAGTACCCTGCTAGCCCTGGCACTGCATCCAAACGAAACTCCACTGAAGACCCTCCATCAGGTTTCTCTGATCTACCCACCAGTGAATTGATCCATGCTATCTGATTGACTCATACACAGCAGAGAAAACGGAGGAGAGAGGGCAAAGAACAAGGTAAGTTTTATGTAGTAAATAAATTACTCATTGTTTTCAGACCACAGACAGCACATCAGTAGCTTCCAGCAGTGGCAGTTATTTGGAAACATCACTCACAGCACCCTTTACATGCTTGTCCAGTAGGCTTTACAGATTACTCCACCACCTGGCTTACCAATTTGATAGCAGCACTTTAAGGTACGCCAATTAATTCATGGATAACACAGCATACAACTGTGTAACCAAAGCTGGTCTCATAGTACTGCTTTCTGCACAAGCAGTCACAGCCATGATCCATGTACCTGCTCCGGCAGCAGGAGGCACAGACATGCAGGGAAGCTCCCAACCTGTCAGTGAGCAGTGCTATGTGGTATGGTAAATGGGCCACAGTTCGAAAGTTTTTTTATTCCAGGATGATACATATCACTTTTTCCTGCCACGCCTATCTCCTTAGCTACTGAAAATAGTTCTTGGCAAACCCGACTAAACTTTGCCTATCAGGGACTATCTGTGCCCCGTGCAATATCTTTTCTTCTGGGTAACCATTCCAAACAAAATTTAGGTCCCTGGACTATCTTCATCAGCTTCACTCACAAACTGCAGCAGGCAAAACCAACATAAAGACATCCTCCACTTTAAAAACAGGAGAAGGTGGGAAGACATTGAGAAAGTGCCACTAATTAATTGTTTATCTTTCTGTATTAAACACAGCCAGGCTGCTCAGAGAATTAAAAAGTATCACTTGATTAAAAGTTTAAGCGAGCCTTCCAAGGAGTCCTAAATGAGAAGAAAAAGAACTGGATAGCATGGGCTCAGCTTAAGGCCTGCCCTCTGAAAATTAGTGGGAAAAGCAAAGAATTTAATTTATGTTGCTGAAGAAAAACACATGCCAATATCTAAGGAAGAACCTCAGGATTTTATTACTTTTAAAAATCAAGTCTAAACCCTGATTATATGAGGGAAAGGTTGGACAAACAATGAAACAATGAGTAGCTTTGTAAATGTGAGATTTGGGAGAGACTGAGAGTCAGAGCCATCCTGGGGCAGAAAATGTGGACTGCAGTTATCTGGGAGTACATCATGGGATTGCACATCAACCTTCAAACCCAATGACTGGAGAAGCAGATTTCTTTCTGTTCTTCTCCAGTGAGAATTACTTGTCCAAATAGCACATAAAGGCAACTCACTCAAGTAGGGCAGACTGCTGGTCTTCAGGAAAAGTGAGTGCCAGGATTTTGCCCTGCTATGCTGGTAACTTGCATTTGGATCACTCCTGCTCATCTTTAGCTCCCCACATAGGTAAGTATAGTAGGACAAGTATATCTGTGAGGGCTTAAAACCAAAAACACTGAGGGAGGAACACTTCAGACTGAGGAAGTTCGGTGACTAAACCCTCATTCAGGCATCCTGGGTTACTTTGCATTATCGTCCCCAGGAGGGCAGCAGTCCCCTTTGCAAGGGGTATTTCCTCAATTTGCACATGAAGGGGACTCAGCCCTGGGGCTGGGTCATACTGATTTGCAGGGGCTCATATAACACTGGTATTAAGATTATTTCATGCCCAGGGGCTGCTGTGGGCTGCCAAACCTGCAAGACACTTAGGGATGGGTTATCTTGGTTCTGTGAAGAGAGGGGAAAAAAAGTCGTGATTGCTTGTGGCTGGTCTGGGCTTGGAAGATGAGAGGAAACAACTAAACTAGCAGAAATAAGTGAGCAGGCCACAGGTGCATGGTACATTTGTTCTGAACATCGACAGTCTTTCTCCCAGTCTTCTTCTACCAATAGTGTGCAGTCATACAGACATTAGGCTGTTGATCAGACAGATTATTTAGGAACCGTTCAAGTATCAGTTGACCTCAGCGATGCTATGGTCCACTTGCAGAGGAACACGTACTGTCAGTATGCGGGCCACCTGCAATAAGAAAAATGGCTTGTGTTTGGTAATAGCCAACAGTACATGCTTTCTGCAGCTGCAAAAGGACAGTGTAAATATGTCAGATCTCATAATTCATGGTGGAAGATAGCTGAAGAGGAGGAAGAAGACCGCTTAAAAGCTGTGACAAGTTCTTCCTTTGCTGATTTCTGCGAACAGCTAATTGCACTGATTCTGGAAGAAGGCAAGAGATCTTTACCAGCAAAGATTATAAACGCATGTAAAAGTGAAAATGGTAGAAATGTTTATCCCTTATAATCCCATTAGGTAAATAATCTGTTCAGGAATTCAAATCCCATGCTAAAGAGGGCCGTATAGATACCCCTGCCAGCAGTTTGCCCATGCATGAGGATGCAGCTGCCTCCAATCCTGTCCTTCTGTTCACTAAGGCTTTGAAAGAGCCATAGCACACAGATAAAAGCTGTGTTCTGACCAATGTAACAATGAGTCCCCATCCTGAAGTCCCCTGCCACCCCACCACACTCTGGCAATATGCATTTCTTTACCAGCCATGGCACGTAAGAACATTCTAGCACCACTGCTTCCACGTCTGCTTTCTTGCTATCCCCTCCTGACATAGTCTGTCTTTGGCTCAGATCCTTGCCCACGGTCCCTTCTGCCACTGGCATTCACATGAGCAGACTAGTTCAAACACTAGTCCCACGTGTGATCTGCTCACACTCTGAAAGCCAACCAGGCTCAGAGACAGCAGGAAAGGCACAGGCAAGTGATCCCCTGGAGGAGCTGGCTGCTGACCTCTGCTAAGGGCTGGAGGGTTCTGCAGACCTGGGGGCAGCGTAGGAAGAAGTCCATCAATTTCTGCACTTGAAAAAATACCCCAGCTGCAAGCACAAGCTTATCACAAAGGCTCAGCTTTATTTATGAGCACTGCTCTCCCTTTGTACTATTTTCCTGAGCAAGTGGTTGAGGCTTTTTTTTCCTAGGAATTTCTGATTAGCGAATGTCTCAGCAGTGTTTTAAGAATATAAATCCTACTGGGAACCTTAGCCTGAATGTAAAACACACGCAACCCTTATTTAGCAGGTGTCTGCCAGGTTCACAGGGAGACCCAAAACCCAGGGAAACAACCACTGCAGAGCAGAGCCATGCAGCACTGCTTGAGTGGTGGCTCTGTGTGGCAGGGACATAGCTTGGTATCATCTGCAGACCTTGTCTGATCCTCATGTTTATTCCACAGTAAGCAAGGGTTAATTGCTCAAGTTATAAGATTGAGTGTATCAAATGATCACTTAACCCACCTCAATCCCATTGTTGTGTTAAAGACAGAACCTGGCTGCAGCGAAGGACCACGAAGGTATGAGATTGTCTGGTCTACCTTGCTACCCCACCCGTGCAGGAAGGAAGAGCTAAAAGTTTACACTGTGGCTGCCTGTTTACCTACGTAGGCATGCTGCTGGTCCAGTGATGTGCCGTGGATGTGGACGGGAAGCCCCCGTAAGGCACTGGGAGCAGCCCTGTGGGAGGGTAGTGGTGGTGGTGCACTGCAGATGGCCTGGGTCTGTCTGCTTTCACAGCCTTGGGAGCAGCAAACTGCAGGTCCTTGATGGAGAGAGACGAAGGGCAATTTGTGAAACCTGTGCCCCCATGGGAAGGGTCCCTGGCTCAGGGGCTGGGTTGCCACTTGGCCACGCTTTGGTAAAGGAAGTCCTTTGGCATTTGTCTGGAGATGGGGTTTAGAGGCTCCAACACAAAGTCCAGCAAACACTCAGTGATTTCAGATTTTACCTGATATTCAGAGGGACTCAGAACCCACTCCCCCTGATTTATCCCACCAGTCTATGTTAGGGAAATGCACAATGACAGGATGGCTTGGGGAGGAAGGTGGGGACCTGGGGGCTGCACACTCTTCCTCTGCCATCTTCCCTTAGATGCAGCGTCCTCCACAAAAAGCTGCAGATGAGTCTGCTGGCTCTCCCAGCACCACCATCTGCCCCAGACATCTCCCGCACAGCAAGGGAGAAAGAGTATTCAAAACCAGAAACCACAAATTTTAAAGGAAAATAGAAAAGGACTTCTGTCCAAGGCAACACTTGGCACAGCTCTGACATGAGGAAGAGCCAGCACTGCCTGCCTTTTTCAGAGCAAGTCTGCCCGGAACCATGGCTGATGAAGCCAGTGGGCCCCTCTGCACCGCAGGTGGTGTCCTGAGACTTCTGTGCTCCAAAACATGAGAGCTAGCAGCTGCTGTTGGAGGCTCTCTGTCCGGGGCAGACATTTGGTCTCAACGGGTGCCAAAACCTGTCAGCTCCCTCCAGGCCACGGGATGTGCTATGGAGGAGGATTGCATTTCTTACCCCTCTGTTAAACCCAGGGCTCGGGGCCTTTCAAGCTACCTGTTGCTTTTGCAAATAGCATGTAGGAAAGATGCAAGTAAGCTGGGCAAGGACTGCAGAAGTGTGGGATTTACTTTCTCAGCACCTGAGAACCTTAACATCTGAGAAAAAGATGACAAATCTTTCTTACAGCACAGGGAAAAGACGTAGTTAGCCTGAAAATGGAGGGGCAGGAAAAGTATAGGGGAAGTTTTTGCAACACTGGGACATTCTCTCCTCCCCAAAGATCAACTGTCTTTGCTTCTCAGTTAATAAATGCTACCGATTACAGACTAGAAATAAATTTTTCCAAAGCACTTAAGAATATAACCTTGTTAAAAATAGGTTGAGAATTGGGCATCTAAGGATATGGTCAAAATTACATGCCTCTTACCAGGCACTGATAAGGCTTTTTGGAAAAATCCCTGTAGGGATCTACACATCAAAATATCTTTAAGACCTCTCCTTTCAGAGCTCAGTAGCCATTGATTTTCAGTAAGCAGTGGGGCTCAAAGTACAATCATGAAATCTGTGCTTCAACTCTAGCTCATTTGAACCTGCCAGGTCAAGTTTTACCAGTTACAGGATTTGTAACATAAATATTGTCCCAGTGTAGATCTCTTCCATGCATAGTCTGTTAGTGGTTCAACTGTACAGCCCAGATAATTTTCAGAGCTAGAGCGAGTCCAGTTTGTACTTCCATTGGGTCCTGTCAAAGTGCTCATCATGGTAAAGAGGGAGGTTGTACTCTGCTCAGTAACCATCTTCTAGTGCAGTGAGTTTGAAGATGGGCACAGCTGTTAAACATCCCAGATTTTCTGCATGTTTTGTCCAGGCCCTGCACCTTCCCAAGGAGACCAACCATTGCCTTGTGTGAGCAATGATGCCCTTCAGACTCCAGTGTTGTTACCTGCTGTGCATGCTGAAGCAGGGGAGAGCTGGGTCCAGCAGACTGTGTGAATGACATCGGTGGCAAAGCCTTCAGCATCATATTCTGCATGATGATCTGGTGCATCTGAGCGTTTTGCATCAGCATCATCTCTACCATATCTGGGAAGAGGTCACCCCAAGGGAGAAAGTAAGGGCTTTATCAGCAACTGACAAGCAGCAGAGGCATCTTGGTAAGAAGTGCCCTCCAGCATACAGACTGGTTGCTGCAACAAAAACAAAGCAGCTGAAAGGGACACAAAGAATATTAGCATTCTTTGGCCAGGCAGTGCTGTTTAGACCAGCTCTTCTGTTTCTCCTCCCTTCTACAAGAAAGCTGCTGTTGAGCATCTTCTGTCTGTTAGTTACCCTACAAACCCACCCCTCTGGCTATGCCGACTGGCAGACCGGAGAAGGACTGAGCACTAGAACTCTCTCACTTACTACAGCATGGATCAGCTCTTTACAGTCCTCTCCATTGCTTCAGCTTAAGATCATTGCCTTCCATGTGAGAGGTTTCCTCAACCTTATGTGATACTGCAGTGCCACCTTGAGAGTCCACTCCATGCGCACCAAATCTGCCTACCATGACCTCTGCATCCTAATCACAAAGGACCTGTGCAGTGTAACTAATTTGCTTGGGGGGAAGGAAGAAGGGACAGGGAAGAAAAAAAAAAAAAGAAGAAAAAATAATCAAGGCAACTCTCCTGTTTGTTTTTTTTTTTTTTTTTAAACTGGTCATACCAAAAGTCATTTATACCTGTCAGCTTCAGAAAAGTCATGCATGAATTGGGGCTATTTTGTTTATGAAAATAAACTGATTCAAAAAATCCAGACACTCAGATGAAGAAAGAGCTAAGAAATATAGCAGTTTCATGACTAAGGATTTCTCTGTGGGATGAAGAAACCTTCGGCTGAAGGTTGAGCTAGGGAAGTCAGCCCAGGTTCTGTTCATGTATTATTTTACAGTAGCATACACCTATGTTTAGAAATAAACTCTTTTTAGTGGCATTGCACTATGCTGCGAACAGCACTTTCAGATGTTCTGTCTTGTTTCCAAACATGGGGCATAATAAAAGCCTGTACTGTTCTGAGGAGATTGAACAGCAGTTTAAGAGGGAACAAAAGAATAAAAACATATTTTTAGAATCCTGTTTGATAATTTTGGAATCATCTGTGCACGAGTTTGACCTAGTTAAGATTAGTCAGTGCTACAGGTTGAACTGTTTTGTTTTCCCAAGCTTCCCCAGCAGCTTAATCTCACTTTGCTGAGTTTGTAGTTCCTTTTTATTTAGTTTTAGTGACAAGGGTTTGTCTGAAAGCCTCTCAGAAATGGTATCTAGTCCATTTATGGAGTGCAATTCCCACAGCTCCAGCAGCGGCCCAGTCATGAAACAGCATGTCACTAACTAGCTTGTTTGTCCTGTGCCCCCTCCACTTGCCATGGCACCTCACTTGCCCTCTCCAGGCCTGGTGATGGGAGCTGACTGCTAGATTACCTTCTTTAATGCTTCCGGAGTGGGGGGCCGCAAAAGGCTGGGCGGGGGGGATCTGTGTGATCAGAGGGGACAGGTGAGGTAACTGCTGGATGATGGTGGCAGGCTGAGGCGGCATCTGAAAAAGAAAGGAAACTGGAGAAGTCAGGGTTAGTTTTGGCCAGCTCCCTCATCTTTGGAAAGGGAGTGCAGTGGATATCTTCTGCCTGGTCTTCAGTAAAGCTTTGGACATAGTCTTCCATGAAACTCTCGTGGACAAGCTGTTGAGGTTGGGGGCTATAGAGCAGACAGTGATCTGCATTGGAAACTGGCTGAGCGGCCAGGCCAGAGCGTGGGCAATCCTCCCACTCCTCTTGCTACCTCGTTCCTATGGTAAACTATTCATACTGTTAATTTTGTGCCTTATATGTAAGATGATTTCCCTTAGATTTTACCTAGGGCACTATGGGTCCGATACAACAGCAAGAGGTGAATCTTCCCTTTTGGTGGGATGTTTCCATACAGCTCCCAAGCAGTTGCTGTCTCAGACTGGCACAGTGCTAGTGGTGCTTCCTAGGAGAGAGGATCCTTACCATCTGCCGGATAATCCTTGGTGGCCCCGCTTGGGCAGCTGGAAAGGGTATCTGGTAGACATCCAAGGGGGCAGCTAGGTGGTTATGACAGTATCCTCCAGCTGGTGCAGAGGGCTGCGAAAGCTCTTCCAGAAGGTGCTGCTCCTGCAAAATCAAGTATCTTCTTAAAGAAAACCATAAAGGCAGACAGTATCATTATGGTCTCTGGACGCCCTTGGGAGCCCCAGCAGGGCGCAACCTTGCTCACCAAAACACTGCTGCAGAAACGTCCAGCACTGCTCGGTCTGACAGGTAGACCACAAGTGACTGCTGCATGAAGGGAAGCACTCAACCAGTGCCCACACAAGTATAAAGACAGTTTTTCTTCCCACATATCTCAAAGCCATACAGTTTCCAGCACAAGCAAAAAGGAATGGTAGAAAAGTGAAGAATAAACTGCCGTAAGTCTGGGAAAATGCTTCATTCATGGCTGGTACCCTCCACAAACCAGGGATAAGTAACAGTTTCTGTTGTCCCTATTTTGGCAGCATTAAAAATCCCTTCTTTGTATTTTGGCATTACTCCAGAGAGCTTACTATACAGCAGTTCAGGACAAACAGAATCAACCCACCAATTAACTGAAGCAGGCTCAAGCTTCATTAGCTGTAGTAAGGGAATACAAACTGCTCTCTGGCCCCTCTCCCTGACTAGCTGGCCCAGCCTCTATACTCTGAATCAGCAGAGGACTGAATACTCTCCAGCCAAAGAATTAAAGGACGGGGAAAAAACGTAATGCACATCGGCAGTGGATGTGCAGATAACTTGGCCCTTTCTCTTGTTTCTGTCCACAGAGAGGGCTCTTACCCTAAGATCCTGCAGCAGATTGTTCCTTTGCCTTAGGGCACTTTGGAGCATATCCTCCTGTCTTTTCCCTGAAGGAGGAAAAGTCCATTATCCTCTCAAAGAACCACAAAGACAGAGGTATTATAGCACCTACATTATGAGATTAACTCTAGAAAATGTGTTATAAGATAGCTTGACTTCTTTCATAAAAGGCTGTAGGCTACTTTTCTTGTCAAACCCAGTAAATGAATGGATAATGACTTTATGGCACATGCAGATGCAGCTGTTCAGCAGCTCTACAAAGGCAATGCACCTTCTCTTAAAATAAACTTTTCAGATTGCTCACTGGAGCCCCCTTTTAACCTCCTGGTTTAACAACTTATTTCAGACTGAAATTTCCTAGATATACTCTGTACATGCAGAGGATGATTGTGCAAAGTGTAAAAAAACATTGTTATGACATATCAAAGCAAACTCAGTTTTGAATGTCAACTTTTCTGTTTCCTTTTTCTTCTGAATCAACTTCCTTTTCAGTTCTTCCTACATACAGCTGATTTTGAACTGGCTTGAAATGAAAATAAGAAAGATCATTTTCACACACATTGGAGGCATGCCTGGCATCTGCTCTGAAAAGCATCACTATGTATTTTGAAGCTGTATGTTGTTAAAGGGATTTTTAATTTTTGGCCACAGCACTGGAAGTTTACAACTATTTGTGCATCATCTCAATGAATATGAGCCCAGAGTACAATCTACAAATATTTCTGATCTCATACTGGTAGCGTTTAATCCATAGATAATATAAATATAAACACTGCATGCGAAAGAAATGAATGCACTATACATAGCATGTGGAGCTTCCATGGGAGTACTGTAGAAAGGAACACACTATGTGTACGTGAAATGCCATAGCAGTCTTTGAAAGGGTTTGATAAAGACACAAGTTATTTTAAATTTCCTTATTTATCAACTTTTAGCTGGTTCAATAGCTTTTATAGAGAATTGTCTAAACTTTGTAAGCTTCATAAACATGTTGGGATTTCCGACCTATCTGCCCAAGCTAAAGTCAGGATGTAATTGCACATGCATGGTTTCCTGGCAAAATGGTTTCCCAGCTCTTATCAACACAGTCCTCAAGACCAACTCTTTCAGTATAACAATTTGTTTCATAAGCTGAGTCCCTTTTTTGACACTGGAAACCATGTTCTTGTCTGCACAAGGCTGCATTGGTCAGCTTCAAAGGTGCAAAGCAGCATTAGTAGTGGAGTGTCCCTCCAGCCCCGATCCCTCAGAAACACACAGCTGTCCTAATGACCCCTTTTCAGGATCACCATAGCCAAGTATGCAGCTGGACTGCAACAGGGGCTTACTCCTAGGTGTAGGAGCTAGGACAAATGGGATCACCAGTGGTTTGCTCCAGCTGAACCAGCATCCTCAGCCGAGAGGCCACAGAGGACACCTGCGCAGGAGGCGATCCTTATGTCAGTGCTCATCTGGCTGAACAAAAAACCCCAGTTGAATAAATTCAAAAGATAAAATGTAGATAGCTGCACAGTTCTCCTTGCATCAAGGCTGCCAAGATTCAACAGCTTAGTTAGGACCAAGACTAGTATACAAACTGACATTACTGCACAAGCTTCACTGGAACTTGCATTTTTCTTACTTCCAGTCCCCAGGGCTGCGTACAGATTTAGATACACACAGGCTGAGCTTGGGCAGCACTGACTCAAGTTCAGAGTCTCCCTCCTGCCCTGCAGACAATGTCTCTGTCACAGAAGCCAAGACAGAGCAAGTTTTGACTACCCAAATGCCCAACCACTGAGCACACAGAGGCCCCTTCCAGCTTTTAGGGAGGAGATGAGATCATTTGGTGTGACCTAATGAGGAACTCATGCCTGAGAATATCACTATGCCTTTCATGTCCATAATTAGAACAAATGCTTCTCTTTTACTTGCAGTTGGGAGAGGTGACTCCATCTTCTCTAGGTCCTCCTGTTCATTTTCTAGTCTCTGTTGGTAGAACCACAACAAGAACTGGTTATAAGTCAGGCAGCAAAGTTCACAACAATTTCCAATTCTACGTTACAGGCATAGGTTTGGGATGGAGGAGATAAAGCAGACTGTGACTGGCCACAGATCCTATTAACCTTCAACCCAACCTGCAGTCACTTCCCACGTTGGCCTTGGACCTGCCTCATCACCATGAGCATGCCTGGTAGATCTAGACTTTTGGTTGAACCTGGCCAACATCTCTGGCTCTGACCTGCTTGACTTGCTTGGGGGCTGGTCAGCCAGGCCCCTGCCCTGCTAGCAGTGTTATTGTGCTCAACTCCTTATTCCTTAGGGAGCAGCTGGCCCTTGTTGCTCCCTGATGCTCAGAAATTAGAGACCTTTTGCTCATACACAGGATTTTTTCTTGGCTTAGATACAGCAGCCATTTGAGGGCAAAGGCTCCACACTGGTGGAAACTTTGCCCTCAAATGGCTGCTGTATCTAAGACAAAAGACTCCACCGTGGAGACATATCAGATGCCACTTCCAGCATTCACATCTCCAGGCAAATAGTTGTTCCTTCCAGACAGCTCTAAGTGGCTTCTGGAGGACGCTGAAGTAGAAGATCCACATTAGCAGATGTCAGATGTGCTGATGGTGGAGAAACAGGGCTGAGTGGAGAACCCTAGGTGCATTAGTGCGTGGAGTCAAAATAAAGAGGTACTGGAATTCTGTGTGGCACCTCATGCGCTTCCAGTGAAGGTCTGCCCATGCTTCAGCAGGCAACATACCTTAAGTGGAAGTAGACAAAAAAAGACATAAAACAATCTGAGGTCCTCTTTACCCAAAATTTACTCCTAAACTTTGCCTGTCACAACTCACACTGGTTTTGAGCTAACTGGTTACATCTCCCATAAGATCAGTCACTTTAACTCTTATTTTTAATTTACTGTAGGTCCATGTAAACTTGCACAATATTATTTAAAAAAGTGAAAGCGACTGTAGCATCACTGCACATTGGTCCTCTGCTTGCACAAAGAAAGAGGTTCTCAAATGGCTGCAGATCCTCTTTGCGTCTCAGTAGAAATGTAATTATTTAAAACACAATGTTAATGCTTAAACATGCAAGAGCAAAAAGCAGAGTAAAGGTGACCATTGGAGAGTTATTCCCTTACCTTTTCTAGGAGTTTGAGTTTCAGTCGTGTGAGGTGATCCACCACTGAAGGATCTGCCATTGTAGCAGTCTCATGGAAGAATAGGCAGGCAAAAACAGGTTAAAAATCTCAGCAAAGGCAGATAGGTTTTCAGTGGTTATTTTTTCACTTGCATGATCTTCATAGAAGAATAATCGCATTTGGAAAAAAAATACAATACAAGATTGTGAGCAATTGAAGGAAGTAGATAAAAGCTTCAGTTTCACTCCCAGGTAAAAATGAGTACAGACGTTCACCACAATGTCACAGACACAGCTTTTTCTGGCATTTCTCTCAATGCATTTTTGTGCTGCAGGTTTCGATGATCACAGAAGGGTAACTCAGAGTGAATATTTGTCTGCTTTTAGTGGTTGCTAGCCTTTCCCTGGCAGTGGCACTAAGCCTGGCCCTTTGTGTTTTTAATGTCTTCTACGTAGCTCAGTTTTGTGCCTGTAACCTGGTTGCTAAGTTTGTAGTGCCAATCCCCAATGCAAACAATTTAATCTCCAAGTGTAGAAGCTTATGCATCTTTCGAAAATTAAATGCCCAGGACATTAGTGGACAAGAAAAAAAAGAAATAAAAGCCAATGGTTCTTTAACACAAGCTCAATGCTAGGGGTCAGATTATGATCTTGCTGATTAATACCTGATAGCAATATTTATCCCACTGTAAAGGGCCCATACATGTTTGATGTAGCCCTTCATATGAGTTTTCATCACCAGGTAATAACTAAAAACTCAAAAAATTAAGAAACATCACTGGAACTCATCCCTAGATGAGCAAAAAGGCTATGAGACAACATCCTTTTGCTTACCATCTCCCAAGCAACCTGTAGGGTGTCTCCCCTTCCCAGCATAAAAAACAGAGCAACATTTATCAGTGACATCCATAAAATCAACACCAAGGCATCAGAAAGAAGCCAGGGATCATACTCAGTATCATATTTTAAGCCTGGTTCTGCTCCTAGGAGAGCAAAACCACAACCTCTTCCTTATTTGAAGGACATAGCAAAGCCACAGCTGAGCCACTGCTGGCAGCTGGAGCAGCTGATAAATGCTTGTAGCTGATAAATGCTGTGTGGGAGCAGCACAGATCACCTCCTCCAGCTGTGACCCACAACAGCACGTGTGTGCAATCTGTCCTTAAAAATACACAGGCTGGTAATCACTGCAGAAGTTACAGAAACTGAGACATGGGAAGCCTAAAGATAGCTGTGCTGTGTCAGAGCTGGGGCTCTGCTTTCTTTGGCAGGGCTCATTTGCAAATGCCATGAGTGACATGGCAGAACAGAGAACCCTCTCACCTGCCGGCATATTTCCTGAGAAACGGCTCTATGTACATTTTTGTACTTTAAAACTCCAATAGATTTTTCTCCCATTATCTCTAATATCTTTGATCCCTTCATCATTTGGGCAGCTGCAACAACCTTTGACAAAGGAGCTTCCTAGTTATCTTAAACTTAAGCATAAGCCTAGTTACGCAAGTAAACTGCAAACGTATGGTTTACTTAAGTGTTTGGCAAAAAAACACAGATTTCAGGAATCTAGATTTAAAACAGTCTGAATGCAAAGATTATTGGCAATCTTTCCTATGCGAAATTTATGCAACTGTTCTTGCACTTTTTCCATGCCTTTTGCAACTTATATTCCTGTATCATATTCCCATTCAGGTGTCTCTTTTCTAAGCAAGAGAATCTATTTAATCTGTCCTCAAACAGCAGATTTTCCATACTCATTGATCTCAACTCAGCTGGGAAGGTATAATGCAAAAGCCCACAAGGATTACTCTCATTATTACCTCCTGGCCTCCACTACCGGCCACTCTCAGAAGGTGCTGCATCAGCTCCACTGTTGATCACACTGTGGCTATATGTCTCTTTGTACAATGTCATGTTTGTCCTAGTACTTTTCTAGTTAATAAACCCTTTTGTGATGGGGTGACGAGGGTTATGGGCAGCATTCAGGCAGCAATGTAGCAAAACAAGCTATATTGGAGTCTCCAGACAACTACAACAGCACCAAGCCTGCTATTAGTCATTGCTGATGTTGTAGTAGCCTTTTTGACTGCTGATGAATATTGGGCTGTTTTACCATCGACTGGTTTAATAAAGTGCCCCTTAGAAGTTAAATTTCTAGAGCCTTCCTTGCAATATGAATATAGGGTTACTAGAAAGGCTGACAAAAAGAACCAAGTATTCCATTAAAAATACAATGCCAGCGTTAAACAACTGAGTTGACTACAGAGGAAAGGAAGAGAGAGAAACTTCTGCTTGATGTGACAGGTATCCCAGAGAAAATCCAATACGAGGTAAAAAATGCTTTCCAGCAAATCTGCTAAGGGATCTTTCTTTTCCCACACTTATGGATGCCCTGGTCACAGTGGGATCCCTACTCTAGGGACATCTTAAAACCTGCTAATTAATGACTTGCCAGAAATCTGCCAGCCAGACACAAGAGGATCTTGCACAAAGGGATCTATAATTACGTTGAATCACAAACTAGGGATCACACCTGAACATGGTCATGAAAAAGACCAAAACCATACAAATTTAATTCTGCAAAGGATAATTATTATGCTCTATTTAACAGTGCTTAAGTCAGAGTTTGAATACTGTGCCTAATCTTAGACATAATGGTTTAAAAGGGAGAGAGAGTCCAGAAAAAAAAAAAAGATAAAAATGGTGAATTTAAAAGATGTAAGTTCTGAGGAAAACTTGGAACAACTGGCTTTCTTTAATTAGTAAGTAGATGGTGAGGACTGGGCAGGCTAGAAACCTTTAAATAAATGAAAGGATACAATGAAGAGCAGGGTGGGGGTTTTCTGTCTGAAAAGACTGAGCAAGAAGCACTTGACTTAGTGAGGGAGAGGAAAGCCTGATAAAAGAAAAAATTCTTAATTAAATAGCAAGATAAATGATGGAGCAGCTATCTAAAAAAAAAAACAACCCAAAACCTTCACAGAAGTTGTTTCAAAACAATATAGAAAACCAGCTGTGATGAACATTACAGGACTGTTAGGCCCCTCCTCAGATACAAGAATGCATTAAACTGGTGGCGTCCATACCAGTAGTACATTTCTACAATGTCTTTTACTGATTTTGATACTTTACACCCTTATTTTTAATATGATTTCTAAAACACAAGAAAATAAAACACATATAAAAAGAACCAAACAAACTGACACATCTGGAAATATCCCGAGATGGTAAACTTTCATACTCCTCCACAGGGAGGAGTCTTTATCATTGCAGTCATAGAAGAGTGTTTTAACTTATTAAAAGAGAGTTAAAAGAAAAAAAACACTACACACATACAAAAATCACCAATGGAGAAGTACATGTAATTTCCTTCCAATTGACTGTCTGCTTCTGCCAATTTTAATGTTGCAAATAAACAGTCGAGAGCTCATTTTAGGCTGCTTGGTGGTTATTCGTATTGTAAAAATGTCCTATCTGCATTTGAAGCTAAATATATGAATAAAACATATTCTACAATTAGAGTAATTTCATGCCACTGTCATACAACAGCGCGCAATGGTTTTTACTGTTATTTCTGAAAACAGTGATCCTAGTTTGAACCAAATTATACTTACGATGAAGTCTTACTTATGATGAAGTATGCTATACTAATCATATACTACACTTATGATTATTCTCCTCTTATGCAAGAATTGCAAACCCCTAGTCTCTACAAACGCTGCTCATTTATTTGCAGATACATTGCAGCAGCACCCAGAGTTCTCAGTTAGGTTTCATTACCAGCCTGATCTTAGTGCAGCACTATCAGTGCTACTGCTAATTTAGTCGAGGTATAAATGACCTCTACTGCTTCTATAGTGATGTCAGGTAGGGTTGGCCAGAGCCACTGAAACTTCCACTCTTCCTTAAAAGGGCCAAACTGGTCTTGAAGAAAAGGAAAGCCAATGCATACTGTCGCCCGGCAGCCTCTGTAGTAGTTTAGAACTGCATCTCTACTTTGGCTCTGGACACAGACAGGCTTTCTGATGTGTAGAGAAAGCCTTACCAACCCTGCCTTGCTCCTAGCATCCTCAGGACACTTCTCTTTGGAGCATTGAGCATGCACTGCTCCAGTCTTTTTGTTCTCTATACTGAAATAGCTACATAGAAAGAACGTGGAAGACCAGGAGATTGGTACAAAATGGTTTATTCCAAGAGCGTGAACATGGATGGTGGTTGACATATTATGGGAAACCCAGACAACATAGATGCAGTGCATGGGAGCAGCTAGCTCCAGCTTATGACCTGGATATTAAAATGTCCAAATTTGAGGCAAAAGCCCATACAGAGAAGAGCCCAACTTAAGAACCAAATGCATAGAAATGCCCAGAGATAGAAAAGGGGTTGTTAGATCACGAAAACGCTTGCATTTCCCTGTTCTTAGTAGAATTAAGCCAGTGTATTGCAAAAGATTACCTCTGAACTGAGCCAAGTAACAAATTTGGTGTTTTTTCCAGTATGATTTAATGACATCAAGAGACAAAGAAATCACCAGTTTTGTAGATGACTGTAAGGTTAATTATTCTCAATACTAAGAAAAGAGCACCTTACTTACTTCTCCCTTGTCACCTGAGAATTATTTCCAGATGTTAGCTCTTGTTGCAGCTGTACTTCCTGGAAGAAGGGATTCTGCAAGTGAACACCTCACAGCTCACTTGCTGCAAAGGAAACGAAGTAGAGAGACACTGAAAAACCGAGACAGAAAATATACACAAAAGGCAGAGTAGGTGTGCTGTAAAAGGTAATATTTCTACACAGAAGTTTATAATCAAGCTGGATGCTCAACGTCCCCGTGCCAACAACTCCCTCTGTCTCCAACGGGGACCAGGTCGCTAGAGCCGGGATCGGTCACGGAAGAACAGAAACGGCAGGTGGACGACCACGGCCCCCCACAAGCAACCCCTCTATCGCGGAGGACCAGCCTCGACCCGAGGCACCGGCGGCGGCTCCAGGGCGGGCAGAGG